AAGCAAACGAGACAGTTTCCAAGGTGTAAGGGATGACTGAGTATTCTTAAAAAACTTGCATTCAAGCAAAACATGAAAAGATGTGTCAATCCTATTAAGGCCACAAGGGCAAATTCTATCAGAATAAGACCTATTCAGAAATCTCCCTTGTAGAACAATTGAGGGTATAATATTAAAACTTGTGAGTAAGAAAACTCTGCAGTATCGTGGGATAGTAAGATAGTTCATATAGGGGGTTAAGATTTTTTGGGGGAAATCCAAAATACAGGGGTGAGCAAACCTGGCAGGTTCTTAAGATCAAACTACTGTAATGAGTATCTAGGACATGCTTTTTGATCAAAGAAAACTCTTTGTATTTGCCCATATCAGAAATGTGATTAGCCAACATTCCAACTAACGTCAATTTCTCGTCCAGAGCTTTCATCCAAATCAATTTGTGGGTATCTTGTTTCAGAGAGGCTAGCAAGCTATCTTCAGCACAGAACAATTTTAGACTCCGTTTGAAAGCATAGAGCCATGCTCTTGTTTCCAGGGATATTTGTCCAAATTCTGCCTGCAGTACAACATTTGGTACATAACAGGGGACATGCAGTATTTTTCATAAAATTGGGCCAGAGGTTGATCAATATGATCAATTATGGCTGAGCCATAAACAATAAAGGGGACCTCTTTCAAGATGAAGGCTTGCACTGCTCCAAGAAGGCTTGTACTGCTCCTTTCCCCCTATTTATAGCTGTTTTGCTTTGTTGAATGCTGTTCTAAGTTAGGGGGACCAGGATAAATCTGCCAAGAATGTTGTTGTTCAGTCGCACAGTTGAGTCCAACTCTTTGCGACCCCTTGGACCACATCACTCCAGGCCCTCCTGTCTTCCGCCATCCTCTGGATGCTCAGTTTCATGTTTGTTGCATTGGTAACACTGTCTAACCATTTGATCCATTGCCATCCCCTTCTTCTGTTACCTTCAATCTTTCCCAGCATCAGGGTCTTCTCCAGTGGGTGCTCCCTTCTCATTTGGTGGCCAAAGTATTTGAGCTTCAGCTTCAGTATCTGTCCTTCCAGGGAACAGTCAGGGTTGGTTTCCTTTAGGATTGAATGATTTGATCTCCTTGCAGTCCAAGGGACTCTCAAGAGTCTTCTCCAGCACCATAATTCGAAAGCATCTATTCTTCAGCGCTCGGCCTTCCTTATGGTCCAGCTCTCACAGCCATACATTACTACTGGGAATACCATTGCTTTGACTACGTGGACTTTTGTTTGCAGGGTGATGTCTCTACTTTTTATTATGCTGTCTAAGTTTGCCATGGCTTTCCTCCCAAAGAGCAGGCATCTTTTAATTTAATGGCTGCAGTCACCATCTACCGTGATCTTGGATCCCAGGAACATGAAGTCTGTCACTGCTTCCATGACTTCCCCTTCTATTTGCCAAGGAGTGATGGGGCCATGATCTTAGGGTTGTTTTGATGTTTTCAAGCCAACTTTTGCACTTTCCTGTTTCACTTTGAGCAAGAGGCTCTTTAGGTCCTCTTAATTTTCTGTCATTAGAGTGGTATCATCTGCATATTTGAGGCTTTTAATGCTTTTCCTGGCAATCTTAATTCCGGTTTGTGATTCATCCAGGCCAATATTTTCCATGATGTACTCTGCATATAAATTAAATAAGCAAGGTGACAATATACATCCTTACCATATTCCTTTTCCTATTCTAAACCAACCAGTTGTTCCATGTCCAGTTCTAACTGTGACTTCTTGACCCTTATACAGGTTTCTCAGGAGACATACGAGGTGCTCTGGTACTTCCATCTCTTTAAGGACTTGCCACAGTCTAGGATGATTTATAGAATTAAAGGCCTCTTTAAGGTTAATAAAGCCCACATATAATCCCCCACCTTAAAAGATGACTATTTCTCAGCCAAATGGTAGAGAACTAGACAATGGTCATATGTTAAAAAACCCCGTCTAAAGCCTATCTGTTCATCCCCAGTATGGCTTCTGATTCCATCCAATCTAAAAGTTTCTTAAGTAGATAAGCAGAATATAGCTTTCTCAAAGAACAATGGAGGTTAATTGGTTGATAGAAGGATAGGTCCAGACTAGACCCCTTTTTAAATATTGGGACATCTCCATGAATCAGGCATTTGCCCACTGGAATTAATTTGAGTAAAACTTGGGGCCAAGACTTGAATAACTCATTGGGACATAGATCAGAGCCAGGGCTTTTCCTAATTCTAATCCCTTAGTAAAGCATATAACTTCCTTGATTGATACCTCAGACCAAGGTGCTGTTAAATCAGGAGAAATAATAGTTGAAGATGAACAGGGATGACAGACTATGGGAATGTTACCATTGGGATTAAGATCTACCCCATCTTGTGACAAATGGAGCACTGATATTTTGTTATTGTACTTTATTGTTTTATGCTATGTTGTTTTTATTTGTTTTAATCTTGGCACTGTGTGCCTCCTGTTAGCCGCCCTTAGCCTTCGGGGTAGGGCGGGATATAAATTCTAAGATAAATAAAAAAATAAAATAAAAAATAAAACTAGGTACATTAGCATTGGCTTTTGAAATGGCTTTCCCATGTCGAGGGGACAATACATCAGGGCAGGGGTCATTTCCTGCAGGAGCGCACAGGAGCGAAGCTCCAGCAGTAAAGAGCCCAGGGGGCGGGCACATGCAACAAGCCCCACCCCCTGCTCCCAGCAGCCCTCAGTTAGAGCAAGAAGCAGCCAGGTAAGTTGCAGAGCGCCCCCCGCCCCCTCAGTCCAAAACAGTCCAGTGGCACCTTTAAGACCAGGTTTTATTCAGTTACAAGCTCTCCCTCCTCTGCAAGGACAGATCTGCACGTTCTCCCCCCCCCAATAGCTAGCAATCCAAAAGAGTCCAGTGGAGCCTAAGCGGTGGGTATTGCCTTCTGACACACTTCCGGTGGTGTCAGGGAGTGTGGCATATGCAAATAAGTTATGCTAATGAGCTCCTGCACCTCTTTTCCTACAAAATGACCCCTGCATCAGGGGAATTTAAAATTTGGATTAATAGCAGTGTTAACAATGGACCAGAAGGCCTTATCATTGCTGTTAAATTGTAATGAGATGTCCCCATTCCTTACTCAAGGCCATCCGTCTCCTCATCTTATTCAGCTCTCTATACATTTTCTTCAACTCTCAACTGAAATTGTACAGTTACTTTTAAACTCACAATGCTTCTGTTGCATACGCCTCTTCATTATTCTGCAGTCACTATTAAACTAGCTATTCCTTTTGGCTTTAAAAGTTGTCCTGTCAAGGTTCTTCTTCACCTAGAGAGGTTTAAACAGATCTAATACCGCATTCAAATTATACAAACAGTTGGAGACTGAGTCTGACTGCAGAACCATGTTAACTAAGGCATTACAAAGAATGGAGCCCATTATAGTTTGAGCCTAATCACTAGAGTTAGAGTTCCAGCATAATCGACAAACATTATTTTGATTTTCGGAGAAAGAAAAGCTTTGTGCTGGAAGAGAATACTGTTCCAAAGAGAAATCTGTAGGAAAAAAGACTGGGAGACGATCACTTCCCATAAAATCACCAACTTTTAAGTGTTTAAAGTGGGGCTCCCATAAGTAAAACCATAGACTCCATCAACCTCTAAGTAAGTGTTCACTGGAATAAAAATTTTCTGGATTGCAAATTTAGCCAACTCTAAAGTACCACTGTTTATTACAGCATCCTTAGATTTTCTGTTGTGCCAAGCAGGGCTGAGAAATTAATCATTATTAGCGGGTGATTTCAATGCCAATTCTTGCATTGAAATCACCTGCTAATACTAGAGGGATTCCCGGAAATCGTGCATGCCAGTCATCAACAGTCCCCCCTCCCCCGCGGGCCCATCTTTGAATCCTTATACTAAGTGTGGATGGGGAATATAATCTGAGGAGAGGATAACTGTCAACTCATCCAAATTTAATAAAAAGGCAATAATCAGGTCATCTGCCACCAAAAGATCACAAGATACAATATTGAAACTAGACCCCCCCCCCCATGGCCTACCCCTCCCCGGACTGATGGATGCTCTCTGGAAAAAAGTGAAGTAATCAGGAAAAAGAGGTTCGTCCATTAACCAAGTCTCCTGAAGAAGTAAATAATCGAAGGAAGCCATAAACACGTTAGTATCCTTGTAACAAACTCTCGAGGCCTAGCCCACTATATTCCAACGTAAGATATGGAGTCTGCAAGTCCCAGATAGTCAACTTGTTTTTGCTGCTGGGGAGTCTGGTACTGACACCTTAGGGATATTTCCTGAATTAGTTATAATTCTTGGCTCAAGAGGAATAGGAATTTTCTCTCTTGTTGGGCTTGGATCACGTGGCTTAGAATGATGTAACTCTGTTTAAGATTGTGCTGTGAAGGATGAGACCAATGGTCTCTCTAAGCTGTGGAATCTTGTGAGCAAAAATTCTACTTTGTGAGCTACTGGCATTAAAGCTGTGAGTGAGCAATTTGGCTACTGCATAAATTGGTTTGCTCTGGAGCCATCCTTCCTGAGCTAAGACAAAAATGTGTCAGCCTGAGGCTAAAAAACTGTGAGTTAGCTCACACTATCTCAGCTTAGAGGGAACACTGGATGAGACATAATTCTGCCATGCAAAAGCAGATCTAGCATACTTACAGTGTCTTCTTCTAAACAGTTGCTGGCTTATTTTACTTGGGACCCTCTTTAAAACTAAGTAGGGTTGAGTATTAGGAGCCCGAACTCTTTGCATGTCCTCATCGTCCTTCTGAACAATAAGAAATACTTAACTTCAGATTGCAAAATGTACTGGTTAAAAAAGCAAGCTGTCATTTTTATGCAAATGAGGGTTGTTTTTTTTCTGAGTACAGATGCGGAAGCTACTGTCAGCACCACCAAAATATTTAGGAAGCATATGAAAGGAAACAGATCTGCCAGTAGCACTGAAAGTGGCTTTAGTTTAGTGGCTGCTGCTTGTAGCTTACTCATAGCCATGATACATCTGGAAGAGGAAGACCTGGCTGAGTTTGGCGAAGCAGGAGATAGCTTCTGTGAAGGTAAATGATCTCTGGCAAAGCTGCTCCTTTAGCCCTGTTGACATGAGAAGGATGGGGAGTCAGCAAAGCCCTGTTTCTTAGAGAAAGGAGAGTGCTTTGGAGACTTGAGGTAACTATTGGTACTAACTTGAGATAAAATGCATTTATAATAGCAAGTGAGATTCATATTAGGAGAGAGCTCATTTCCAAAGAGAGTAAGAGGCTGTTCGGAAATCTTGTGTGCCAGTGTACTTACTCAGAAGTAAGGCCCCTTATGTCCAAGAGGACTCGCTCCTTAGTGAACATGCTTAAGATGGTAGCCTTAAAAAAGCATACCGTATGATTTTTTAAATGTAACTGAGATGCTTAACACAGCAAGTCCTAGTAGCTTCCTTTTTGGGATACAGTAGTTTCCACGTGTAACAGTGATGGTTTAGGAATTTGGAAGCTCTTGTACCAGAATGGAATCATTTTACATTTAACATGCCTTTTGAGCTGGTATAGAGGATTCACCCAAAGGGGGACACAAAGGAGAATAGTACTTATAAGCTGGGGGCCTGCAAGGAATAGCAGAACAATTTGGAAACCTTCACCCTTCAAGGTTTCCCTTCTAAGTTCTCATATAGTTTCGTGTGCTGATTTCTCCTCCCCTTTTTTCTCCTTTGACTGATGCTGAGTGGCTCTCAACACTCTCTCTCTGCTGAGCATTTTCAGTCCTCATTAGGTTGCCTTGGAGGGGTATTTTTCCTTTTGGCATTTGTGCTTATCTGTGGAGTCCCGAGGAAGCTTGAGAGCCCTCCCTTGTTTATGAGTAGCCTGGTTTTGCTGCATTCATCAATGACATGTGGCTAGCCAGTTTACTATTAGCTACAGCAGTGACTGTCCAACTACTGTCCAACTACAGTTTCCTTGAGTGAATAAGGCACCTTGTATAGAACCTCAGCTTAAATTGCAGATAGGTTTGTAATAGTTAAGTTTATGAGCTATGAAGTCCCAAGTTCAGTTCTCTGTTCTGCCGTGCTTAGACAAGGAAGCCACAATCTCTTTTGTCTTTGTCAGGGAGTCACTAATACTGTTTTGCTTTACAATGTCGTTGCAAACAATATAGATGGTAGTACACACCTGAAGTACTTAGAGGGGGAAAGCAGAAGTCCTGAGTGGAATTGGGTAGAGAGCACACTACAGTAAATGGGTTATGAGTGTCTGTCTCCTGGAATGCAGAAGAGGGTATGCCATGGAAGCAATGGCTGTGATAAATCTGCCCATGAGATGTAGTATGTTTGCAGATGGGTGAGTAATGGGGTCAGAGCATCTACGCATACATCTTTAAACAAAAACTACTGAAAACAGATTGGCTGCATCAATAAGTGCCTAACTTTCACTGGGTATCATCCCTTCATCCCGTGTGTGGATTGTTAAAGCATGTGAAAGAGGAAGGGCCACACCTGTGTGGTTTACCCTATTTTCAAATTTGCATTTCTGTATATCACCCTTCCCCTTGTTTCAAGTTAATGGTAGAATTATGTGTAGCTTCATGATACTATTTAGAGAGTTTCCCCACCTTTTATACTATTAAACAACTGCAGATGCATTCTAAAGAGGAAGACTGGTGAGGATGAACAGGGTTTCTTAACCAAATTCCTTTGAACCTTTTTCTTGCTGTAAATCAGCCTCCACCCCAAGCTGTTATTACCTGCGTTCAGTAAAAGAGAAATACCTATATGTAAGAGAGACAAATACCCATATCTTTTTCAGCAGCAGGGGTGAAATCACCTGAGTAGTGGGCTCTTTTTGTAGCAGGGATTCCTTTGCATATTAGGCGACACACCCCTAATGTAGCCAATCCTCCAAGAGCTTACAGTAGCCCCTGTAAGAAGAGCTCTGTAAGCTCTTGGAGGATTGGCTGCATTAGGGGTGTGTCGCCTCATAGGCAAAGGAGTTCCTGCTACAAAAAGAGCCCGGAGGGAAGGAATTTTTAGTGGGAAATGCTGTGAAAGAAAAGGACCAGGAAATCCCCTTCTGCTTGCACCAGGCTTCCCAAGCAGCTGGGAGGGGGCTACAGTTTGGGAGATAAATGGCCTACTGTCTTTTTAGTCTCAGGTTATTTTAAACATGGAAAGGACACCAAATTCTACCCTGTCTGTGTCCGTGCTCACTCTCTGCTGAAGTACTGATTGCTGGAAGCAGTATAGAAACCCGCAATACACCACACCTGCCATACAGAAAGTTTACAGATCTCAACAGTTTCGTGAAGCTGCTTAAACTATAAATAAAATTCATACGAGGAAGCATACAGTTTTAGCTACTGTCTTCTTGTGCCACTCACTTTCCTCAAGGACTCTGTGTCTCTTTATTCTTGTTTTAATCACATGTGCTTAATCCGCAAGCATTCAAATTAAACTAACAACTTATTTGTACTTCCTTTTGAGCAGCTGATGAAGTTCCTCTGCATATTAGGCGACACACCCCTAATGCAGCCAATCCTCCAAGAGCTTACAGTAGCCCCTGTAAGAAGAGCTCTGTAAGCTCTTGGAGGATTGGCTACATTAGGGGTGTGTCGCCTAATATGCAGAGGAGTTCCTGCTACAAAAAGAGCCCTGACTGATAATATACAAATTAGCCAACAAAAATAACTCTTTACGCAGGTGGGTAGGAGAGGTTGGTTTCTAATCTCTCTGAATTACTTCACTCATCAACAGAGTGAGCTCACTTCTGGTTTCAAACAGAGCAAATGTTACAAATGAAAAAGCAGTTTCATGTAGCAGCTAAAAGAACGCAGGGTGTAATGGCTGCATAGTGGTGGTTGCTCCCCCCCCCCCCCCCCCCATTAGCCTTTTGACAGTCAAGTGACCAAAGAGCAAGTAACTATTTTAAGAGATTATAAACTTCTCTGTACATCTGTATCTACTGTTACTAGTTTAGGAAGCTATTTAAGCATCTCCCGTTCAGTCAAACCTCTACATATATATACAATTGCATTCAGTAGCTTTTTATATTCTCCTTGAATAAATCAAGCTGTTACATTTTCTGGTTCTGTGGAAGATTTCTCAGGAGATCCTGCTGTGGCTAGGAAACGTCTATGATTTCACATGACACAATGAGGCTATACACCAGAATCCGGTATCTCGGTTTGTTGCAAATAAAAAGGGAACAATAAGAATTCTTATTATCTATCCAGTGGAATGATTCTTTAAAGGAATGCACTTTAGTCAGCATTATTACACTTTGTTCAATGTGTCAATAAGTTAATATTAGCCCATGTATTTCTACAATGATTGCAATGCCAGTTAGATGGCTACGCATCACCATGTTTCTACTTGCCTGTAGGGCCTTTAGCGTTCCCATTCTTTCTATTTTCCAGCTGAGTAACTCGTCTGGGTGCTCTTATGCTACATGACCCAGTTTCTGCAGTTTCCGTGAAGATGACACAATTTCTCAAGCATTCCATAATACTGCCACAGAGATGTTGCCTCAAATTACATTAGATAACCATGAGCAAACGAGGAATTGGATCCAGCAGTACTCTTCGATCTATGGGGAGTCATCTGGTTATGGAAGGAGTTTTTCATACACCAAGACATTTTGTGATGGTTGTGGTGTGACTAATCTCTGCTAGGGGTTTCCTCATCTTTCTCCCTGCCTCAGAATGGTTGGGCAGGCAAAAGGATTCTGGCTGCCATTGGCTGCACTGTTCTTAAGGATTTCTTGTTGTGCCGCTTGGACAAAGAGAGAGACTGGGAAGGGCAAGCACAAGATCCAGGAAAAGGAAAGAGGAAAGATACTGGAAATGAGGACTAGAAGAGAGATAAGTCCATGAGAATAAAGGGGAAGGGAAGAGGTCAGAGGCAAAAATCTAAGAATAAAATGAAAGACAAGAGGGAGGAGAGCCAGGAGTTCCCCCGATGGGCCAAATAACACCAGTTAAACATTTCAGGTTGGGAAAAACCATGCAGGGAAGGAGGCTGAAACCCTTTCTCCATGCATATGTGGTCCCAGACAGAACTGAGTGTTGTGCACATGGGAACTGAGAAGAACCTGTAACTCAGATATGACTGTTACACAGGCTGGGGACCGCAGACACAACCTGTGTACTCCATAATGCGTGACTCAGCCATGACCGGGAGCTTTAGATGTGAACAAAACTGATAGTGCAATATTAACTGCGCTAAAAAAAAGTCTTAAGAACTTGGAAAGTTTTTACATAGCTTCTTAAAAACAAAAATGTTTGTCTGCCCTGGGGAGGGAGTCCCAAAGGACCAGGGCCATCAGGAAAAGACCCATGTTGCCTGTTCCCCCAGGTGATTCGTTGCCTAGAGCTGATTTGCTTATTGGGTCATGCAGCCATGTTCTTCTTTGCTTTCTGTTGAGAAGCTTCCTTCTGGACTGTAATTGCATTGAATTTGGATGGCATAGTGTAAAAATAGATTCAGGTGGGTAGCCGTGTTGGTCTGAAGTCGCATAACAAAGTTTGTGTCCATGGCACCTTTAAGATCAACAAAGTTTTATTTAAGGTATAAGCTTTCGTGTGCAAGTACACTTCTTCAGATACAATGAAATGGAAGTTAGCAGTCCATACATATAGGTAGCTCCTGCCAACCTAGCAGTTCAAAAGCAAGAAATTGCAAGTAGATAAATAGGTAACACTTTGGTGGGAAGGTAACAGCGTTCCGTGCACCTCAGCGTCTAGTCATGCCGGTCATATGACCATGGAGACGTCCTCGGACAGCACTGGCTCTTCGGCTTGCAAATGGAGATGAGCACTGCAGCCCTAGAGTCGGATTCGACTGGCTTTTGAGCAAGGGAAACCTTTACCTTTTCCTTTACATATAGGTAGAGGGTGAGCAGCAAATTAGCATAAGCATAATAAATGGTGTTTAACAGATGCTAGGACCAAAGTGGTCCTTGCATTTGTTAAACACTGGTCCTGGCCACATGTGCTGGAAAACGTGGGGGGGGGGCGTGGCTATTTGCACCGTTGCATTCTGATCCACCATTATGTGATCAGACGCGATGGCGGCGCA